TTTCTGGGAACGGTTCCCTTGGAGCCTACCCTCCCACCCTCCAGCCCTCCAGCCGCTGGGCGCTGGACTGTTCAATTGCATGCACGCCTCGGTCGTTTTTGTGACTGTCGTTTCCTGCCACTAGCCCCCCCTCCCCCCCGCGCGCGTTTGTCAATCCAGCGTTGTTGTGGTATCGTTGTCTAAGGACTCTGTCTTCACATAACACATCATGCGGTCTCGGATTGTGGGCGCCTGTCTCTCTGGCTGTGCGTACGGCGTGCGAACCTCCTCCGCCTTTGCTTTCCCTCGATGCGGCCCAACTATGAGGCCCGCGGGTGCCGCGGCCAATCACCAAGCTCGGGCCTACCGTCATGCGGCGGCGAGAAGAGGGAAAGAGAGCGGGGTGGGGTCTCTGCTGTCTTCTGCCGTGGAGGACGACGTGGAGGTTGGGCAGGATTCTGGGGAGATGTTTGACGTCTTCTTGCCGCCGGAGGGTGGATCCCTCTCGGTGCTCAGCGAGCCCCCGCGGCCGGCGGGCTTCCGCAAGGCCAGGGGTCTCGTGCACGCCGACGGTGACTGGCACAGGAGTGTGCACATATGGCTGCATAACTCCAAGGTGATGGTGGAGTGCCTTTCTTGCGCTGGGGGCGTTGACTCGAAGAGGGCACAGGCGGGGACAGACGTCTTTACATGCGACACATGTTCCCACCCTTTGCTGTTACACCGGAAAGCAGCGTAGGGCACCTGCTGTAGAGGTTAGAGGCATGAACAGGGACCGCATGACATACGTGACACATCATTACTAATCTCACATCTGCACATCACCAGTGCAGTGTAAAGTTGGCAGCGTTGAGTGATAACGAAAGTGATCGGGCGGTAAACTTGCGACAATGACACCGTTTGTTATCCGGCTGGCGCGTACAACGTACGCTGCACGGGATCCAAACTACTCCACATACTCCTGTTGGGATATCCGCTTCGGATCAAGTACCAGGCGTATCGGTACACACGTCAAGCAGCGGTCGACCAGAGAAGGATATTCACTGAAGAAATGTGGAGATATATGCGACTCACGCCTACACGAGAGTACTTTGGACACTGACGCGAACACTCCTTGTTGATTTTCCTCAATCGGCACCAGTTTTGATACGTCATATCTCTGGCGCGCTGAATTTGATGCCTTCCCCAGACGACACAAACGCCGCCAGGCAACGGACGGCTCCGGGAGCAGAGCGTTTTGTTCGGTCGAGATCACAGCTCATGAAATGGTCGAAACAGCTTTGCCCCTTCCCTCGCTCGCAAGGGCGGCTACTCACGCAGCCCCGCCACGATCGTTGCTGTGTGTTCGCACGCAGGGCGAACTGGTGCTGCAGAAGCGGTCGTCCTCGAAAGGTACCGTTACACGACAGTAGTAGGCTGCTGGGGCGAGGGAGCACCTGTAGCCCTATTCCCGAAGGGGGGGGTCATGCTACTTGTAGCAGGCCAACGCAAGTATATCCATCCTGAAGACACATGGGTAGTTAGTCACGCACCTCTGCAGTCACCAGATGACGTGACTGGCCATTGCCCCAATCGACGCGTTGCGAAGGCGGCGCAAACTGCACCTTGGAACAGAGTACGAGGCTGTGTGGAATTGTTGGTTGGAAGACTAAAGCTCTAGACTTATTGGAAGATGACATGGACGTCGTGAGTTCGTGTCATCTGTCACATGTCGCTTGTCTTTGGTTTGACTTGTGTGATGAGCACGTTTTTTTTTTATGTCTTGTCACCCTTCTGGACACTCGTGGCACAACGTCCCCGGGTTTCACCGTAGGCGTGATCCGTGTGTTGCCATGTACACACACCTGCCTCTCTCTGTCTCTCTGTCTCTCTGTCTCTCTCTGTCTCTCTGTCTCTCTCTCGCTTTCTCTCTCGCTTTCTCTCTATCTCTCTTGTCTCTCCGTCTCTCCCTCTCTCCCTCTCTACCGCTCTCTCTCCGTTGCGTATCCAACTTGTTTTCCAATGATGTCTGGAAGCTCGCGGCAATCCAATCCCCTACCAAAGTTCCCGTTACTCAGTCCGACACGTTCTTTCTTCGATCGCAAAAAACTCTATGATAGATACGTTTCCGGGGATGTGGGACGTTAGCGTGGGTGGGCACTTCACGGCAGGGGAAGAGAGCCTGGAGACGGCCATCAAGGAGACCAACGAAGAGCTGGGCTTGAGCTGCGACGAGAGCAGCCTGCGCTTCGTGTGCACGGTGGCCACTACAGCCAAGGGGAGCACCGACATGCACGGCGACTTCGTCTGCAACGAGTACAAGGTGCGTGCTCGGGCGAGAGAGGCCGCAGTTAGGGAATCATGCCCCCGAAGTGGTAGTTCCTTGTTTGCCTGCCGGCTGAAGAAACATGCCGCATGCTGCACGAGTCAGTACTTGGGGACCCGCTGGCGCAGAAACATGCCGCGTGCTGCACGAGTCGGTACTTGCGGACCCGCGGGCTTAAGAAATACGCCGCGTGCTGCACGCGTCCAGTAGTGCCGTGGGTGACGCAAGACATGTCACACCCATCGTACCGATTTTCGACGCTCGGTTTCTCCAGAGGATGGCGGTGCCGACAATGGCGGCGTTGGAACCGTCTCGTTGAGAGCTTTCCGTTCACCATATATTTTTGATGTCGTACACCGTCCTCGTCGTGGTGGTGTCACTGAAAGTCGGTCGAAGGGATGTGGTAGCTAATGTCACCTACGGTAGTAGGACGTTCCTTCGCGTGCCGTGCTCGTTGCTGGCATCGACAGCAGGGGTGGAGGTTCCCTTCCGATGTTGTGGCGTTCCGCAAGCGCGGAGTGTTCCGAGCTTTTTTCTTGCCCGCGGCAGTGACCCCCCGCCCACCAATCTCGCAAGAGGGCGGCGCCTGGTGGATGGAGACGGTGATGTGTTGTGGCAAGGTTTCCCCGTTTCAGTCGTGTCTTTGGCTGCTTGTGGACTACAACGACAACGCGCGGTGATAATATTGCAGACTGATCGGCAGGAGTGCGGGAGAGCAAAGGATAAGGGTGAACGGTATGCTCTGTAAGAGTCAGGGTTATGGTTTCCAGGGGTGTGGGGCGGTTGTGGCCTAGCACGTCGCCACGGTCCACTTCGATCTTTTGCTGCTGGATTTACTTAATATTTCTCTCTCTCGCCCTCCCTCCCTCCCTCCCTCCCTCGTGTTGCACTTAAGGTGGTGGTGGTAATCCTAGCGACCTTAGTGACCTACCTCTTGGGGTTGGAANCCCTCCTTTCCTGCCTCTGTGTGTCTCTCTCCGTCCCCCTCTCTTCAATGTTCTCTCTCTCCCCCTTTCTCTCTCGTGCCCTTGCAGGACATCTACCTGCTTCGGTACGATGGACCAGTGGGGGACCTCAAGTTCTCGCCCAGCGAGGTCGAAGACGTCAAACTCGTGCCGATGCAGGCGCTCAAGGAAGCTTACGAGGCCCAGGTTGGTCTGTCTTTCAAAGCCCCCTGCCAAATGTTAAAGTTTCGCAGCAGTCTCGCCATTTTTTTTTGGCAGGCGATGGTAGAGACCATGATCGGACCATTGACGACGGTGAACTTGTCGTCTCAATACTGTGAACCGTCGTTCCCGATCACCTAGAACCACGCGCGGCTGCGTCTGTCCACACCCTTTCCCTCTCTCTCTCTCTCTCTCTCTCTCTCTCTCTCTTGGCCTCTCTCTCAATCTCTCTCTCTCTCTCTCTTGGCCTCTCTCTCTCTCCGCCTCTGTACCTTCTGAATATTTCTCGCACTCTCTGTCTGCCTGTCTCTCTGCCCTCTGCCTGTCTGCCCCCCCCCCCCCCCCCCCCCCCCCCCCCCCCCCCCCCCCCCCCC